GGCTGTAGACGCTTACTTCCAGACAGAGTTGCGGTCGGTGGGATACTTGTTCAGGTTCTTGAGCAGCTCCAGCAGAGCCAGCTGGATGCACTCTTTAGTGGAGACGTTGGTGTAACACAGTAATTCATGGAGAGCTTCTCTGATGTCTCGAGACGAGTCCTGCGCACAGACGGCGAAAAGTCAGACGCAAAAACATCAGTCGGGGTTTGTGATTCCAGATCGTTTGCCCGCTCTTATACCTCCAACACGGCCAGCACCGTGTCCAGCTGGTCCTCTCTGAGCGTGATGTGGGTGGAGATTTCTCTCAGCACGTGGATGGACTGCAGCCTCACTTCCTCGATCTCATCGTTGAACATGTCGACCAGGAAGTCGAGACATTTCTCGGCGAAGCTCGGAGATGACCGAGCGAGGTGGCACAACGCCTCCACCGCTGCGATACGAACCTCTGAAACAAAGTTTAAAACACCAGAAAATATTCAGCAAAAAGAGGAAAATGAATCATCGACAGAGGCTGGAGACAGAAAACAGCATTTACTGACTTTCCTTTGTGCTTCAATCATTCAATTCTTTATATCTTCATTTCTTTGGAGCCAGACGTGACCACATTTAGGCGTGCGGGTGGAGTTACTAGTTAACGGTGCTAAGTGTAGTTAGCAAGCTACAAGTATGGAATCTATGGATGCAATGCACAGACAGGCAGAGTTACCTGCTATATAGCAGTCTGTGCATCACAGCAGGTCTTATCATTTGTCAGATAATTATTTAAAAAACATTTTAAAGTTCTCTGTAGCCTCCTGAGACATTTCTGAGAACATTTAGCTGTAGCAGCCTGAACTCAGTGACCGCGTCATCCAAAACTCTGCTGGGTTTCCTTTACCAAACATCTCATCCTCCAGGCCGTGGACGAATGCTCCGCAAGCCCCCGAGGCGATGAGGTTGACTGTGTTCGTGTCCAGTTTCTCCTTCGGGGCGTCGTCGGCCCACTTCCTGCCAGAGGAGAACTCTCCGGAAGCAAAGAGCTCCTTGGCTCGTTCGTGGGCTGTGCGCTTCCTCTGGATGGAAAAGAGGAATAAAGGAGAGTGAGCGGAGCTGTGCCGATCAACATCGCTTTGCTACAGACTGTCAGATAAAAGAATTAACTCACCCTGAGGTCTGACATCAGCTTCTTATCCAAAGTTTGCTCCAGGAAGTGAGGACTGACCTGCAGCATCGAACCCTGACACACGAGAACATAAAAGCTTCACTTTAACACCATTTGCCTCACACACACAGATTCTTTCCCATCATTAATCTGCAGGCATTTT